ATGGAAAGTATATTTACTTTACCATACCACCACCATATTACTTCTATTAAGTGTCAAAATATTAATTTTACCATCAAAACACATGAGAACTGTAAACCAGACTATCACCAGGCAAGAAAGTGCAGTGATCTAACATGAAATAGCAAGTAAAACAAATCACTTTGGTGTGGATGCGTGTCTGATTTAAAGAAGGTGGCGTGAAAAAGGTCAGCAGGCATTTACTATCGCCTTCCAGTTGTCTCTCAGCTTCTGGGGTAGAGCTAGGTTTGCTCACTCCGTCTCTCCCAAGCAGAACAGACGACAGGATTCCCTCTGTTCTTCTACAAGCGTTCTGGATACCATCAGTAGCTGTGGAACTGAACCGCCAGGCACTTGGCATTGCCAAGTTGTCCAGACTTGTACACATCGTGCTTTTCCAAGTTTAGATGCCAGCACAAGCCATGGGGGTCTTTGGTTTGTTAAACTATTCTTGCTGGTATTTAACAGCCGTAATTCCAGGTTCTGGGCTAAATGACTTTTCTGATCCATTAGATATTATTTCATTTGAAGAAGTGAAAGCTGTTTTCAACAATAGTAGGAATAAAGATGTTTTTCTTCTTTGAAATTGAGATCTTTCCATGAAGTTGTACGGCTGCAATGCAGTAGCATCTGGAAGAAGAGTGCCTGGGGCAAAGCATACCTTACTTTCAAAACCAAAAAGGCACAATCTCGCCATGCTACCCTGCACCTCAAGGTATACTTCTGACCTGTTTATGTAGGCCACTCATGCACCAAGAACTCTGAGACACACATGCCCCAAATTCAGACAAAAATAAAAACCACAGTACTGTTGACCAACATGTTCCAACCAGTTCAGGCGAAATTCAGACTCCCAAGGGCTTAGAACTTCCTCCTCTTAAAACAACAGTAAACAACTACAAAGTCAGTGATCAGCTAAGAGGTGCATTCTGGAAAAGACCAAAACTAACTCCGTGATTGCTAGGACGTGAAATGAAGCGGCAGTCTGACTATAGGGCAGGAAACATCAATGGTTAACCAAACTATTTTACCTTTCCCCTTTTAGATTTACCTGGGGAGCATCATCAATGTACAAACTGGAGTTACAGAAAAGAGGTTACCCATGGATCCCTGAAGGGAACTAACCATGTCCCATTTCGGTTTGGGCGTAGGTGCCAATTATCTCGACTCCATGGACCAGGGGCAGCCATTTCTCCTTCTGAGCATCAGTCGTTTGGGTCTCTAAGGTTTTTTGAAACATGCTGAAGTGGAGACCGAAAGGTTCAGGAAAATTGCCCAAGCATGCTCTACAGGAGAGAAATAGAGGGATCTGGATCTCAGTCTTACTGTTACTGTGATCCTACAAGGCTTTTCTCCAACTCTAGCATAAAACAAATAATCTCTTTGCCTACTTCAACAGTTTTTTGTCCCACAAGCAACCTCCAAATATGGATGCATCAGAAGCAATGCTAACAGGGAAATAAAGGTTTCTTTCAGGCATTTTCTTCAGCCCATGAATCCTGCTGTTGCTACGTAACTGGAAAAAATATCATTCCACAAAGATTCATGAGGAACTTAAAAGTGAAGACATGAAAACCAAATTATTTTCTTCCCCATCTCTCAGGCTTGGTGGGAATAAATCCCACTGCTGCTGACAACCTGGAACTAGGCCATTATTAGCTAGAAACACTACGTATTGAAAAGGAAAAGGCTTCTTAGGTGACCGAGTGCTCTGTATTACCTGCAGCTGCTTCTATCAGTTGTGAGATCAGGAACTCACCTTCAATTACAATTACTGTTACAGGCTAGTGCTGGAGGGAATGGAAGGAAAATCAGACATTTTAGGTGTGCTTCATCAAACCGTAAGCTATTTCCTGAGAAAGCTCTATTAATTTAGTGGTCGTGATGGCAGGCAAAGTACATTCCCAATTAAAACAAGCTCTGTAACACAAACGTGCTAGAAAGCTTCACCGTGTAAAGTAGTAAATGGCAGCATCTTCCCTTCAACATTCTGCAGTTTGAGGTTTTTTTCATCTTCAAGCTATTGCACACAAATGCTCATTCCATAAGGAAATAAAATGAGGATATGAGGATTTCCGTAAGGAAAGAAGTTCTGCATGAATACCTACATGAGAGACCTCTCCCACCTACCCAAGACACCTACAAGGGAAATACATCCTTCCATCTCAAGGGATTAACACCTGCCGGGGAAGGGCATTATGAGCTTGTTGCTATGCATATAGTTTGTCAAATTACAGCAGCATTTGTGATTGTCATTTTACACCACGCCTGGAATGAGTGCTTGGGAGCAGAGAGTAAATAATTGATAATTCAAACCCAGATCCCCACGCAGATCTGCCTTAGGGTGACAGAAAACAGGGCAAAGGTTCTTCAGCACCATTGAACTGCACGTTGAAGTTTTAAACAGACAAGACTGAATTAGCCATGGATTTTTCCAGGATCAAAACTCCGTAATCAAGTAATCTACTGCTAGTGATGAATGTATTAACTGTGCTTTACGCTGGTGTGAGTGCAGGTACAGTGCCCAGAGTTCCTGGAATTGAGGCAGACAGTTCTCTTACCAGAAAATATTCTATTGCCTACAGCAGCACATGCTTACAAAGCCAAAGCTATCAGGGTGACCAAGGGCTTAAAACTGCTACAAGGACAACGAGACAGAATATTTTCCAGCATTCTTGTGGTTTCCTACACGGGTTACTCTTTTAGTCCAAGACTCGTATAGCAATAGCAACACCCTTCACTTCCTCACTGCCTACAGCACAGTTATTCTGCATCTATTCCGTGGTCCCCAAAAGGACAAACCTACAGGGGGAAAATGAGTGCTGACTTCAAAATGTGCTGTTTCAGGGCAGCTTAGGAAGAGTTTGAACAGTTCTATGTGTATTTTCAGGGTCAAAAACTTGTGAAAAAGGTGGAGCACATGCTTTGCTGTCAGAAAAATCAGGTCAGACACTGCTTCTTTGAAGGTAATGCTCCAGAAAAATCTTCTTAAAGGTCACAGCAGCAACTTTCACTGCCTGTCAGTAAGTTGCATCACAAGGGCCAGATATTTCATGCTTAACTAGCACCAGCTCTGACAGGAGTAAGAAGAATGACATTTTGCAAGCGGATAGTCTAACAACCCTGTGTCAGAAGGTCATACTATTTCACTGACTAAACATGCTTATTTTAATTGCATATTTTAATAGCTTCTTGCACTAACAAAGCTGAAAGCAGAACTGAAAGCTAGCTAATTTACAGCAGAAACTTTTAATCTCTGCACGCTCCACACTGAATGGATGAGGATTTTCTTAACGTGCCTTTTAACAACTTGAACAACGAGAGAGAATCCTGTTTTCCTCGTGACACATAGCAAACAGAAGAGGTACTAGCTGTGAAGGGAGGAACAACAGGTTTTATTTCCTTCTTTCTCTGAACTCTTACTCCTTCCCCTCCCAATTTCTACATTCCCACTTGGCATTTCCCACTACCTACACAGCTTGTTCTCCAAAGTCTGCCTTGTGTAACTGCCCAAGCACCTTGCTACATCAAGACTGACGGTGGCTGGCTGCATGCAGCACCAGGCATTTGATCAATGGCCAACAATCACCTCGTTGGGCTGAAGTCAGAATTGCTACAACAATCAGCGAGTCAAGAGGAGGGCTGCAGTTCCAAACCCACTCAGGGGAGAAGGGTGTGTAGTAATACGCTACTTCAGCAATATGGATCTTTCCATTTAATGAAGGGGCAGGAGGTATGTCTGACCTGCGCTCACTGTGCTTCAGACTTAACAAATCCTATGGTAATAAACTCCTTTTCTAGCTGTATCAAAAAAACCCCCAAGTCAGACTCATCCACCCCAAAATAATTGAGCAGTGGACTAGTAGGGCCCGTACTACCAATTTTTCTGGTTTGATTTGCTGAAAGCTACTCCAGGTCCTAACTTTAGTGCCAAAAATGAGAAGGACAAATTCTCACAGGGAAAGTGCACATTTGGGCAATGCTTCGGAACACAGGAAGCATCTGTTGACTCGCAGCTCTTGGATCTTCTCTTCTTCTGTGACACTATTTCTCCCGACTGTTTTTTCACTTCATTTAATCCCATTTTTCTCAATGAAGGTTATTTAAACTTGAAGGCGAATTAAAACTGACCAGATTGCCTGCTTCAAAGAGCTGTGTAGCATGATACATCAGAACAATTTCCCAGTTTTCATGCTGACTTACATTTTGCTGCTGTTAGACTGTAAAGAAATCATAAATATTGGCACTTTAAGGCTGCTGGCCTTCAAAAGCAGCAACTGCAGTGTTGACACACGTCAAGACACAGAGAGAATTGACTAGATGAGAAGCAATTAAAATGGCTTCTAAATATATTTAATAGATTGTTTTTTGGAGTCCAAAAAAGCCCTTGTGGAAACAGGAGCATTCAGTTCGACATGTCACAGCAGGAACAACTGTTCAACTGTATCTCCAGGGCAGCTGGAGGAGGAAGCATTCCTCCTCCTCTAGTCATAAATCAAGCTATAAAGTTGGTCAGTCATGACACAAAGCTACCTAGTGAAGTTCTGGGAGCATACAAAAGCTACAGGAAAACAATTAGCTCAATATTCTCAAAAATTGCATAGGTAAATAAATCTGTCCCTGCTATTTGGGGATAACCACAAGGCATGAGGGATTACGGGCAAGATATCTTAAGCTTCAATATGTAAAAGTCTGATGGTCAATCACAACAAATCCAGCTTGACATCTGAATCAAGGCCTTCAATCTATTTCACAAACTTCATTCGGGGCATGTCACAACACCACATCCATTCAATTTTCCAGTTTGGGAAAAAAATTAATAAACCCAAACAAACACAGTTTCCCCAGGTCAGTTGTTAGACAAATGAAGTCCCTTCTAGGTAGCACCACTGGCATGTTTGGATACGTGACAGAAATAAACTTTACTTTGCAAGTTGGGTGGAGTTCACCAAGTTTAAAGAAATGTTTGACACTCAGCAGGTGAGAAACTGGGGACAGATGTTAAAGCGCAAACAAAATCAAAGGATAAAAACCCCAATCCTTTCATTTCTTCCATTTATTAGGAAGCAGTAAGCCAATAGTCTCCCTTGCAAACACCAGGCACTATAGTAAAGAAGTCAAATCAAGAATATTAACAGCATACAGTTCTTAGAGCAAACTAACTTCACTTGCAGGTAAGAAGCACATGTACTGCTCTTCATTCTTCTACATGTTATTACAGAGGACACTGGAAAATGCAGTCAGCCTACAGTAACTGCAATGATTCGAAATCCTGAATGTCAGCAGTTAGAACTGACTCTGAAAAAAGTAAACCTTCCTCATTGTTTCAGCTGATTTTGGATCATGAATTCTGACTAGTCACACCTGACTATTCGCATAAGATATGGACATATTATTTGCTACCTACATGAAACACTAAGCTTTCATCCATTTGAAGTGAAGAATTGCTGACTCCCAAATAAGCTTCTGGAAAGACAAAACTAGAATCTATCATTTGACTACTTCAGAAAAGTCCTGTTTTCATAAAATATTGTCAGTAACGCTTCCAAAAGACAGCATTCACATTGCAAACTTCGTTGAAATTTGCCAGCTGGCATACTAGATAGACTTCTCTGAATTTTCCCCATAAAAATAATTGAAGAAATTTCCCTATTACCTAAAATAATCCTTGTGTAGGAAAAATTAATGATTAACGTTCGCCATGCAGTACCTGAATAATCTAATAGAGTCACTGAACTTTTCATTGTCCACCAATGTCAATTTTCAAGGGAATATTTACATTACTTCCATGAGAACTTTCGTGATACAGGTCAGCGTAAGCCAATTTCTTTGAAATTAAAACCACAGCAGGTGAGACTTTTTCAACTAACTAGTCCCAACATTCATGCCCTGAGGCCAATGACAGCTTTTCTACAAATCCAGTCAGAGGGCGCTTGCGATTCTCCCGGTGCCTTATTTAACTTGCAATGTTCATTCCAGGTGCCAAAGGACATATTCACGGTATTACATACGGAGTTCTAGAGCTGTGCAATCTCTCTGTGAAGCAGTTTCGGTCTGATTACATCAGAATGAATTTAGTAGAACTAACGGGAGAAATATATCAAAGACAGGGACTAAGTTCCCTGCAAGCTGGAAGGAATGAAACTCCAATGTAAAGACTGTTTTATTTTTATTAACTTAATCCAAGGGTAATACTATCAGATCATCAAAAGGTCAGATACAACAAAAAGCCTCTGGGACAAAGGGAACCACTATAGCACCAGGAGCTTGGAGGAGGGAGGCAGCCAGGTAGTTGTAAACAAGAACTTATAAGCTATTTTGGAACATTTTCAAGTATGTCTGTAAGGCAACTTAATATTAGGTCTAAGTGCAAAGTGAAGTAATCAGCTTTAAGAGATTTCATTAGAAGCTGCAACCTCATCAGATCTATTCAGACTCAAACTATTTCAGTATACTTTTTATTCTTTTTGGGAAAAAAAAAAAAAATCAGACTACAAGTCCTATTTTTTACTGTCTGCACCATATATAACAGAAAGCACGCAATAATTAATGGTGCATTTCCAGTCAAAAATCTAAGAAAATTCAATATTCAGGAAATCAGGGACTGATCTGAAATTCACTGAAGCAAAGATTTCAGTGGGCTTTCGTACAGGTCTTTAGCTTCCTTTGGACAGCAAACATAGGAAAAAGGCATAACTCTAATGTCTTTGGTGATGATCAAAGTACACACAAGAAACAAACTCTACAGCCAGGTACCTTTTAAACCAGTAGATCTCATCTGGATCTGCAATTCCATATTCTCTTAACTTCATCACCATCAGAGAGCTCTTCCTGATGGCTTGCTCATAGCGCTGGCTACGGGACAAGAAGTTCAAATCCTCGTGCTGGAAGTCAGGGTCATTAATAACTAAGGCCTCTGGGGACAAAATGGAAGAGGAAAACAAACTCAAGTTTCCACAAACCTCAAAAGACGGTGAGTGAGAAACGATTCAGCATTTCACTTGCTGTACCTTAAGGTACAAATACCAGAAAATTCAAATTAAAAGTTAATGAAATCAGAAAAAAAAAGTCAAAACTCTTGGAGAGAGGGACTTGAACAACAAGGTGCTCTCCCATCCCACACATAAACCACATTTTAAGTTCAGAGCACACTGGCCTTGGCAGGAGGTTAATTCACTGATGTAAGGCCTGCAGGCCCCTCAATAACAATCTCGAACCCTCAAATGGCCACTGTTACTGCTGGATCAGACTGCCCCATGAACTTTAATCCCCACACAACTCCTTGTAGAAAGGCACAGCTATTATCCCTGCTATGCCAGCTGGAAACGAAGGTACTCAGAGGCCACTGACTCTGTGTCCCCTTTGCCACACAAGTTACACAACACCAGCCTCCGCCAGTCCCACTCCAGCGTGGCTGGGGAAAGGAAGAGGATGGCGGTGTTTCATTAATCTTGCACGCCATGATTGCGGTGGGTGAGAAACAGGTCGTATTTGTACTTTTGGGCAAGAGCGTAACAGGAAAGAAAAAGGAGGGGAGAGGGCTCAAGAGCAATGCAATGGGAAGCTGGCTCTCATTCCCTGGAGGAAGGGGAAAAAGCAGGGTAAAAGGACGCTGCTCTTTCAGGGCCACCCCAAGTCCCTCCTGGCAAGAGGAGAAGGGGATCAGAGACATAACACTGCTCCTCTCTAACCCTTTAGACAAAAATCCCTTCCTTCAGGCAGCCCCCTCCACCTACAAGCCCCCTCTCACAGCTCTCCCCTCTCCCCAAAAGCTCCTCCCCCACGATCTCCCTCCTCTACAGCCTCCCTCCCCACCACCTCCTTCAGTCCCCCCGGGTCTCCCTCTCTCTACAACCTCCTTCCCTCCCCACCTCC